ATTTTTTTTTTTTTTTTTTTTTTTTGTCACCTTAAACTGCTAGTTGTGGTTAAGGTAAATTTATAGAAGATTTAAAATGTGTTTAAAAGATTAATTCAAGTCTCTCATATTAAACTCTCACGCCATCAAATTATGGCAATTAAAATTATAATATTTTTTAAAGGTTGTTAAAATTGCAACACTTCATATATTTGGAGTGCAAAACATTAATTTTTTCCTCTTTGTAAAAGTTTAGAAGACGAAATCTTAAGTGTATAAAAATTATTTTTGAGAAGTGCATTTGTAAAAGTTATTTTTTAAAAAAAATATATATTTTTCATATATTTGGAGTGCAAAACATTAATTTTTTCCTCTTTGTAAAAGTTTAGAAGAAGAAATCTTAAGTGTATTTGTAAAAATTATTTTTGAGAAGTGCATTTGTAAAAATTATTTTTTAAAAAAAAAATATTTTTTTAAGAACAGTTCCAAATGTGTTTTGGTTTTCTTTTTCTAAAAGGAATATACTTAAAACCATTAGAAAAAACAATCTAACTATAAACAAATAATTAAAAATAAACAAATAAATAAAAGTCATCAAACATATGGGGATTAGAAATTTTGGCTAACCTCAATGCTCTGCGGGCTGCTACTCTCCAGCACCTGGATTTCTCCGGCGCATATTAGTTAAGCTGTTTTTGCATATGGGACAAGCTGTTCCGCCACACGCACTGTAACAGTAATGGCACTGCATCATAACAACATTCGAATTTCTTATGTACAATCAAACACTAGTCTCTCTGTTTTTCATTTTTGGAAACAAACAAAACAGCAAATTTTAATCGATTCCTATAAGCTAACTTTTCGAATTACTGATGCAGAAGGGATGATGAATGCAGGACCTTAAATTTGTAGGGAAAGAAAAAAAAAATTAAGGAGATTGTCATTGAAGACAAAGTAGATTATAGCACCGCAGGCATATTCCTTAAAAACGGTTCTTCGTTAAAATAATCTCTTCGGACAAAAACAAAGGGTACTCTGTATGCCAATGCTTCATAACGGTTCCGTAACCAACTTTTCCTGAAAAAAGATGGAAGATTTGTGAACGTGTTTATATCCATCTGATAAGCTCGGCCACTTCATAACGGTATTGGAGATAACTTGACATTATCTCCAATACCCAGTTTGTTACACACCTAGCATAAGAAGATAAGAAAATCACAAATGGAAAGCAGGCACTGCAGAAGCAAGACGTATGCAGGCAAATTATCAAAAACAAGAGAAAATAATGAATATAGAACAAATGTTAAAAAAAGAATGCAACAAAAAAAGACAGTAGCAGAAAGAGGTAAAAAAATAACTGTCAAGAAAATGTAGGTGGGCAGTATCCTGGGAGGCGGATTGGAACTCGCAATGTGAATAATCTTCTGCAGTCTACATTAAAGCAGCACAACAGGTCAGGTCAATGTCTATGCTAAGAACAATTTGGAGTTTATAGCATCATAGAATACAATTTCACCAACACATAAAATGAAGGACGGACTTCAATGAGACTGTCAATTTTCACATTTAAATTTTTTGGTTTTAGACGTGCAAAAAGTCTCTTCAATACAAAATTGCCTAATGGTGACAATAATAATAACCAACATTATGGTGAAGGAGATTATATGCAGTTATTTCTAGGTGCCATCAAATTTAGTTTCTGTCCTAGGAAAGAGCGAACCATTTAAGGATACTCAAATACTGATTAAAATATTGTTTTAAAAAAAAAAAAAAAACACCTGCCAACCTGTCGAACGGTGGTGATGACCAGCATCCATGGCATACTCTGCATAGATGCAATCCCAAGCGATCTGATAAGGAAAGAACATAGTAATTGTGGTGCGCTGGTAGATTATTAGGAAAGGACAATGACAACATGTCATACTTTGTAAATTCTGTATTTCGTATTTGAAAAAACTATAGTGGATGCCAGAAACTTCTCACCTACTCCAAGGATGCCAAGCGATCCACTGTCATTGCATCTGTCTGGACAGCCCCACAGTCCAACAATTCCTATAATTGATTAAAGAATATATAAATCCAACAGATACATGAAGGTTTATTTGCAACTAATTATTGCACGATGTTCCACGTGAATGTGACTGGAGTTCAACTGAAGCCTCATTTGGAATGCGGAAAGAAACTAAAAAATCAAGCACTTAATTTCAAATTCTACGAGTTCACGAAATTGGTTTATCTAAACTGGCCAAGTACACTCACCATTTGTTTGTCCAAGTTCGTTTAGCATTGACAATATATATATATATATATATATATATATATATATATACACACACACATATAAGAAGAAAAGAAGAATAAATGTATTAACAAAAACATGAAAATAAAGATTAAAAAACTATTCATAAAAAAGTGAATTAGAAAATACATTAGCAAAGTTATGAATATTTTTATTAATGTGAGCCTTAATTAGAGGAGGTGCTCGATGCATAAAAACATAATACAGTAATCAATAATATTAACATGAACCATGAAGCGCACATAGAAAATAAGAGTTACAATATCTAAAGACAAATCAAAATTGAACTTCTGCATTATATCCACTAGCAAAATCCATTAAATTCTCTTAACTGAAAAATTATTGAAAAGATATTGAAACTTAAATTTGAAATGAAACGAATAGGCCTGATGAACAGCTTAACTTAGCGGCAATCGCTAGAAGTCAGGCGTGAGCCTCGATCAACCTTACCTTACGAATGAACAACCCAGGCGACTGCATTGCAGAAGTAAAAACAAACTGAGGGGCGAAGGAGGCCACGTGTACCTCGTGGCCTGCAAGTATAAGATGTCGAACAACCTTTATGCACAGAACAATGTATTGCATTATCAAGCATTCTCAAGGAAAGAACAAGAAGATAAAAAATGTCGTAAAGCAATGCATAAACTTAAAGAGTTGAACTATAGTTCCACGAAGATAAACCAGAAGAAATTTCAGCAGGATGAGTAACATTGCAGGAAATGCAGATCAATATAACCGAAACTTCGAGCGAGAGAAGGAAGTGTGATCAAGCACAGAAGCAATCTCTCAACATTCTAAAATTAATGAAACTCGTCGGGAGAACTGCCTTACAGAATTTTTAAACAACAAATTGTTGAACACAACTCACTGTGGGAAACACTCGCTCTCTTTATTAAGACCAATCGAGAAGAGAATACAAGACACTCTGTAGAATACTTCTGCTTTTTATTGTTTTTAGATTTCTTGGATGAATAACCTAGGTAGGGTGGGGGTATTTATACTAAGAGTAAACAATCTATATTTAACCAATCTAAATCTAGACCTAACCGATTTGAATCTAGACCTAACAAATTGAATCTTTCTCCTAAAATATCTACATCTCTTTCTCCTAAAATCTCTACTAAAATAAATATACTGGGCTCGTACAATTAGGCTTGACTCTATTGGGCTAGTACAATTATTGGGCTTGACTCTATTGGGCTAGTGATGATATTTCAACACTCCCCCTCAGCACTAGTCCTCATTCGCTGCATCATGTTGAGCTGACAGCGAAAGCTCTCATGTTTGCTAGTATTCAACCCTTTTGTAAACAAGTCTGCCACTTGGTCATCTGTCTTGATCTGCTGCATCTCAATTTCTTCCTTTAGGACCTTCTCTCTAATGAAATGGTAGTGCACCTCCACATGCTTTGTTCTAGCATGAAACACTGGATTTTCTGCAAGGCGAATCGCAGATTGGTTGTCGCAAAGAAGTGATATTGGATAGTCAATTTTCTGGTGCAAATCTTCCATCAAGAGTTTTAGCCATGTACTTTCCTGGGCTGCTCCAGCCGCTGCTCTATACTCTGCTTCTGTAGTTGATAATGATACTGTTGGTTGTCTCTTGCTACACCAAGAAATTGTTCCCGAACCAAACTTGAACACATACCCAGTGGTTGACCTCCGAGTATCGTGGTCTCCTGCATAGTCAGCATCACAGTATCCAACTAGCTTGCAGTCTTTGCTTCTTTTGTACAAAAGACCATAGTCGATTGTACCTTTGATATATCTCAAGATCCGTCGAGCTGCATCCAGATGAGGCTTCTTTGGACTTTGCATGTATCGACTCATAACCCCAACTGCATACGAGATATCAGGTCGAGTTAAAGTTAGGTAGATAAGACTACCTACTAGTTGTCGGTACGTTGTTTCATCGTTCAACTCTTTGCCTTCATGTGCACAAATCTTGGCATTTATCTCCATCGGTGTTGAAACTTGCTTGCACTCTAACATGTTGAACTTCTGAAGCATGTCTCTGGTATACTTTTGTTGGCAGAGAAACAGTCCTTCATCTGTGCGATCAACTTCTAGGCCTAAGAAGTGTTTAAGCTCTCCTAGCTCTTTCATCTGAAAGCGTATTGATAAATTTTCTCTTGTTTGATAAATTTCTCTTTCATCGTCCCCGGTGATAATCAAATCGTCCACGTAGACCAACACAATTGTCAAATTTCCTTCTCTTTCTTTGATGAATAGGCTTGAGTCTGCATGCGCAACTGAATAACCACTTTGGGTAAGAAATTCAGCAATCTTACCATACCAAGCTCTCGGTGCTTGTTTCAGTCCATAAAGAGCTTTTCTAAGCTTGCATACATAATTAGGATTAGCTGCACTCTCAAATCCCTTTGGTTGGTTCATATAAATCTCCCTGTCTAGCTCTCCGTGCAAGAAGGCATTCTTCACATCCATTTGCCACAGTTTCCAATCTTTACTTGCTGCGAGTGCTAGCAGAACTCGTACGGTAGTAATCTTTGCCACTGGACTGAATGTTTCATCATAATCTAGTCCATATTGTTGAGAAAATCCTCGAGCCACGAGTCGAGCCTTGTATCTCTCGATTGATCCATCCGGTCGACGCTTTATTTTATAGACCCACTTGCAAGAGACGGGTTTGATATCTCCTAGTCTTGGCACTAGTTCCCAAGTTTGATTATGCTCCAAGGCTATAATTTCTTCCTCCATCGCTTTCTGCCAAACCGAGTTTTGTGATGCTTCTTCATATGTCTCTGGTTCGTAAACTCTATCTTCTACAATAGCTGCATTTGCATACTTAGGATTTGGCCTTCGGATTCTATTTGATCGCCTAAGTTGTTGATGTGTTGTTTCATTTTTATCAGATTCGCTTGATTGAGTCACCTCCTGCTTGTCAATATCAATGTCGCTTGGATTTTCAGATGCATCGAAATTTGATTGAATTTGTGTAGTTTGCTCCCCCAGCTTCTGTTGTAGAATTTCTTCAATGTTTGAATCTGATAAGACTTTCTTCTCCGAGGACCACCATGTAGATGCTTCATCAAAAACTACATCTCTTGATGTATAGTATTTTCCACTTGTTGGATCACAGCACCTCCATCCTTTTCTTTGATTGTCGTATCCAACAAATACACACTTGACTGCTTTCTTGTCAAACTTGCTACGTAGATGGTCAGGCACAAATACATAGCAAACACAGCCAAATACTCGGAAGTAACTAATTGTAGGTTTCATATCCCATAGTATCTCAAATGGTGAGACGAACCCTAGCTTTGGTTGAGGAAGCTTGTTGATCACATGGGCAGCAGTTCGCATAGCTTCAGCCCAAAATCTTCCTGGAACGTTCTTTGCGTGTAACATGCTTCGACAGGTTTCTGCAAGGTGTCGATTCTTTCTTTCTGCTACACCATTTTGTTGTGGCGTGTTGGCACATGTAAATTGACGTCGTATCCCACACTCGTGTAAATATTGATCGAACTCATCTGACGTGTATTCTCCGCCATTGTCTGAACGTAGACAACGAATCTTCGCTCCTACTTCTCCTTCGACCATCATCTTGAATTCTTGAAACTTTGAGAACGTGTCAGACTTTTCTTTCATAAAGAAAATCCACACATATCTTGAGTAGTCGTCAATAAATGTCACCATATACCGCATTCCGCTGATCGATGCTTGTTTGACTGGGCCGAACAAATCAGAGTGAACTAACTCTAATGGTTTCTTTGCTTTGAAACTTGACTCTTTGTATGGTAATTGATGAGCTTTACCATACTGACATCC